TAGTTTTACAATGAAATTGAGAGGGAGGGACAGAGATTTCCCATATACCTCTGCCCCCACACATGCAGAGCCTCCCCCATTACCAATATCTCCCACCAAAATAGTATATTTCTTACGAAGGATGAACCTACACTGACACATCATCATCATCACCCAAAGTCCACCGTTTATCTTAGGGTTCACTCATGATGTTGTACATTCTATGGGTTTCGACAAATGTATAATGACATCTATCTGTCATAATACACAGAGTAGTCTCCCTGCATTAAAATCCACTGTGCTCTGCCTGTTCATCTCCCCCTGCCACCTCCCCTGCTAACCACTCATCTCTTATCTCCATAGTTTTGTTTTAGTTACGCTCAAATTTAAGAGACTAGAAAACAGCCCTTTTTATGCTAATTGAAACTGAACTTACAATTTATGGAAAAGCCATTTCTCAAGATTGGCGATGAATCCCTCAAGTGGGATTTCATTATACTGTTCTGATTTTGTATGTTTGAGATTTTCCGTAATAAAAAGTTTAAAAATAAACAAGATTGACGTTAAAAACATTATTTCTGCTCTGATTCCTACATGAATGTTATAGATTCAAACTTTGAAAAAGCTTCTAAGATAGGGATAAAATTACTCTGTATCTCTACTTGTGAAATCGAGGGCTGATGAAGGATGGATGACTACTACCAAATGTCTTGGGTGCTTCTCAAATTTATCTTAATGAGATCATCAGTAATACAGTAGTACACCCAGAATCCCTTTGGTTCCCTGTGCCAAGTGTGGCAGATGCTGTCAGTATACCATGACCTATCCTCTTAGCACCTACCACTTGAACGGATGCCACCTTGTTTCCAATGTCCAACCTGCATGACTCTGCTAGACCTTCTCTCTTCTTTAGAGATTGTTCTGCCTACATTAGCTAGGGGCAGACCTCAAGTCCTTGGGAATCAATGCTCCCTGTGAGCATCCCTCATCCACTGCCTGAAGGGAGCTGATGGACAAACACCCTAACTCTCTTTTTCTTCAGATTACTTAGTTCTGAGGCTCTTGTTCTACCTTTTTTTCCCAGAAGGCCCCCCACCCAGATATAACATTGATTTTCCAAAGTGGCAACTTGTTGGAGAACCTATCCTTTATCAGCTTCCTTCTCTTCCCTGTCTCATTCCACTTCCCTACTAGTATTCCTGGGATCCCCTCTCAAATATGCTTCTTATACCTGAATCCTTGTCTCAAGATCTGCTTCTGTGAGAATTCAGACCAAGCAAGATACCAAATTGAGAGACCTAGCCCTCAACCTGAAGAAAAATTTCATGAAGGATTTTGAAAAGATGTCCTATAAATGAAGGCAGTGTTTGGCTTAACATAAATTTTTCCCCCTTTCCAAAAATCACAGAGTAGGTTATACTTGAATCTATCCTGTGGAGCTGATGTAAACATTTTGGTAAGGATTGGGGCCCGTGACCCCAATATTTAGGTAAAAATCTAAAGAATTCTTTTTTTAAAATTATTTATTTATTTTAGAGAGAGAGCATGTGAAGGGAGGGGCGTGGGGGTGGGGGGAGAGAATTCAAGCAGACTCCCGGCTGAGTGTGGAGCCTGACACAGGGCTCGAACTCATGACCCTGAGATCATGACCTAAGCTGAAATCAAGAGTTGAATGCTTAACCGACTGAGCCACCCAGGTGCCCCTAAGAATTCTTGAGATAAGAGGTATCATATTGGGATTTAAAAAAGCCTAAGACAATTGATCAAATGCATTGCAGTGGATGGAATCACATAACCCCAACTAAAAATCTGCTAACTGAATAAATGTTCACAGTGAGAATTGTGAGACAGATTAAATTGGAAATTTGGTTGGCAACCGTGTTATTAGAGAAGAATCAGAGTAAAATGCTAGGTTTTTGTGATGAGATTCCATATGAATGTGAAACTTTTTAAATCTACATTTTTAGTTGAAAAGATCATTTGTAAATTTGCAAGCATCAGAAATGCCAAACTCAAGTGTGTAAGCTTTTTGACTGCTATCTAGTTTTAATATGAATGAAAACCTTGTATTTACCATTTATCCCAATTTTAATTCCCTTAAGGTATCTTGCATGTTGTAAAGAAAGGAATCTGGTGGGACTCCCAGTTTTCTTATTTAACTACCTGGGTTGATTATGGTGCCAATAAACAGAATAGGGAGTAAGTGATATAAATGTGATTTGGCTGCATAATATTCCATAGCATACATATACCACATCTTCCTTATCCATTCATCTATTGATGGACTCGTAGGTTGCTTCCATATCTTGGCTATTGTAAGTAATGCTACAATAAACATAGGGGTACATATATCCTTTCAAATAAGTATTTTGATTTTCTTTGGGTAAACACCCAGTAGTGGAATTATTGTATCTATTTTTAAGTTTTTGAAGAACATACTGTTTTCTAAAGGAGTTGTACCAATTTGCATTCCCATCAACAGTATATGAGGGTTCCTTTTTCTCCACATCCTTACCAGCACTCGTTATTTCTTATGTTGATTCTAGCCATTCTCACAGGTGATATCTCATTGTGCTTTGGATTTTCATTCCCCTGATGTTTAGTGATGGTGAGCATCTTTTCATGTGTTTGTTGGCCATCTGTATGTCTTCTTTGGAAAATTGTCTATTTGGGTCCTTTGCCCATTTTTAAACTGGGTTTTTTGGTGTGTGTTGAGTTGTAAAAATTCTTTATATATTTTGGATATTAACCTTATTGGATATATCATTTGAAAATATCTTCTCCCATTCAGTAGGTTGCCTTTTTGTTTTACCAATGGTTTCCTTCACCGTGCAAAACCTTTTTAGTTTGGTGTAGTCCCAGTAGTTTGTTTTTGCTTTTATTTCTGTGGAATATTACACAGCCATAAAAAAGGATGCGATTGTGCCATTTAAGACCACATGGATGGACCTAGAGAGTATTATGCTAAGTGAAATAAGTCAGACTGAGAAAGACAAATACCATATGATTTCACTAATACACAGAATCTAAAATGAAAGAAGAAATAAAGAGAATTAGAACTGTGAACATAGGACAAACTAATGCTTGCCAGAGGGGAGAGGGTGAGGTTATGGGCAAAATGGGTGAAGGGGAGTGGGAGATACAGGCTTCCAGTTATAGAATGAATAAGTCATGGGAATAAAAGGCACAGCATAAGGAATATAGTCAATGTTATTGTAATAACATTGTAAGGTGACAGATGGTAGCTACACTTGTGAGCATAGCATAATGCTTAAACCTGTTGAATCACTATGTTGTATACCTGAAACTAATGTAACATTGTGTGTCAATTACACTCAAAATTTAAAAAAAAAAAATGCATACGTGTGTGTGTGTGTGTGTGGTTTCGGATTAAAACAGATAATGACATAATTTAAGGCATCTGTGGACCATGGAGGGGGTGATGTCTGTTAGGTGATGAGTGCAATGTCCTATGCATGGTTTACAAGAGCTAACCTATCTGTTCCCTGCTTTATTCTCAAGCCACTTGCCCATCACAGATATGCCTTCAGCCACATGTGACACTCTCTTGGCTCTGGGTTTATGTTGGCTGTTCCCTCTGACTGAAACACCTTTTGTATCCACCCCACTCCATCACAACATGGACAACTCATGTTTAAACACTTTCCAAGATAGAGCACTCACAGCTCTACCCTTTCTGCTATGACTTTGTCATTAACTCTCCATTTCCTGAGACAATGGTGCTGATATAAGAACACCTCACAAGACTATTAAGAAGATTAATTATACACTGAAAGCACTTAAAGCAACACAGCACACAAAGTGTTCTCCAAGTCTTTGCTATGACTATTAGTTGCTGTCTTATAAGACAGCCCATATCATCTTCTGTTACATTTTTTTTTTAAGATTTGTTGTAATAACAGCCTTACCAAATAGTGCTGATTTAAAATAATGAATGTTCTGGTCTTTTCTAAATCTTATCACAAACCACCGTTTTCAATAATTTTTACCCGGTTTTTTTTTTTCCCCCTTCTTTTTAACACTTAAGTCAGCTTTGTGTGTGGATTGCCGTAATCTGTGTACTGCCAATTTTTTATGCTTGTGTTGTATCTCACTGTTTTAAGAATTTCCTGATATTTGAGCATATGGATTATTTCCAGTTTTTTATTATTTTGATTGAGCCTATTTGACAAACTTTTTCCTATGAGTTAATTGCTTGGGAGTTTTCTGAAGAGTGAAATTTAATTCAAATTTTATTTTTATACCTTTTATGAATTTCTGCAAATGTTCTCTAAATATTGTTATAAATCTATTATAACCATAGCTGTCTATTCACCATTATAAGTGCTAACATAAGGAATTTAAGAATTTATATGTAATTAACTGTCCTTTATGAATTTTTGAATATGAATTATACCAAAAATTACTAAGCTAAAAATAGTACCTTTGTGGCTAAGGGCAAGGATGCTTAAAGTTTAACTTTTTCTAACAAATAGGAATTACTGTAATTTTAAAAACTGGCTTGGAAATATATTAAGCCCTAGACCTCTTTAAACCTAAATTAAAGCCATCTTTTATCTTTTTATTGTAGTATGTATAATTTAGTTTATGAGAAAAATAATCCGTTAAGAATAAGGTTGTTAAGGGGCATCTGGGGCACTTGGGTGGCTCAGTCTTTGGGCATCTGCCTTCAGCTCAGGTCATGATCCCAGGGTCCTGGGATCCAGCCCCGCATCGGGCTCCCTGCTCAGCGGGGAGTCTGCTTCTCCCTCTCCGACTCCCCTTGCTTGTGTTCACTCTCTTGCTGTCTCTGTCAAATAAATAAATAAAATCTTAAAAAAAAAGAATAAGGTCTGTAAATGAATTGACGATTTCTTTTCAGTGCAATACCTTTCCCCTTTCGTATTTTAGCATGCTTAAAGAATGCTTTATAGCACAATTATAACTATTATAAATGTCAAAGAAATTTAAGAGTTTATTCACAATGACTCAAATGTTTTTCTTTTAAACTTTTGAATTAGATCATAGAAAATTCTGTACTATCCACTGCACTGGTTACTTGAGAAGCTGGCCTCCACATGTTGTTGGAATGGAAGAAGAAAGGGACAATAAGAAAGACAGTAGTAATTTTAACTGCCTTGTTGCCATTGGAAGATTACATCCATATATTGTCCCACAGAACAGTGGAGAGATTAAAGTGAAACCAACTGAATTTATAACCCGGTTTGCAATGAATGGAAAATTTGTCTATGTGGACCAAAGGTGAACATTTATATGCCATAATGATTAGAGTTCAATGGGATACCTAAGGCTATTAAAGATGTGCCTAGTAGCACTGCTGGATAAAACTTGGAATAATATTTTTTAAGCCAGTAGTGCAGAAACTGAACATGGTCTGTGGCCACAATTTTACTGAATGGGAGAAGAGCATACCCTGGACTGGGTGGGTGTCCATTCTATTTTTTACCTCTAGTCTGGGTCTTGGGCAGCCAAAGGATCCCAGGGTTACTCATCCCCCTGTCCACTCTCCTACTATCCTGACCATATATGGACCTACAGTACTCTGGAAGGGATTGCATTCACCAATCTGAAGTTTATTTTCAATTTTAAAACCAGGGCAACAGCAATTTTAGGATATCTGCCTCAGGAACTTTTGGGAACTTCTTGTTATGAATATTTTCATCAAGATGACCATAGTAATTTGACTGACAAGCACAAAGCAGGTATGCATTGAATGGGGTAATTTGGGGGTACTTTTTAATTACAGCCTCAACTCATTTCTCGATCCTGTGAAATCTGAAACTTTTATGTAGTGGTAGACTATTATGCTGATTATTATCTTTTCTTGTTAAGTTCTACAGAGTAAAGAGAAAATATTTACAGATTCATACAAGTTCAGAAAGAAAGATGGCTCTTTTGTAACTTTAAAAAGCCAGTGGTTTAGTTTCACAAATCCTTGGACCAAAGAACTGGAGTATATTGTGTCTGTCAACACTTTAGTTTTGTAAGTAATTTTTTATGTTGTTAAGATCTTTATGTTAATTTCAAATGAGTGTCTTTTCTCATCTTGCTAAACCATTAAAGTTGTATGATCATCTGGCTTTATAACTTGAGTATATACTATTTTGTAATTCATTCACTGTTCACTGGTGTTAGTTCTCAGAATTAAGCTGTAAGTTTTCCCTTTTGTAATAAATTTCTTTTTGCTTGGTATTAAAGGTGATAGTAAATGTATTCACTCAAGCTCCTCCTTCCTACCCTTCATGGTGGCCTTGTCTTGTCCCTCCACTAAATGATATAGTTGTAATTTAAAACTATCATTTGTATATTCCCCTTTCGTATTTTAGCATGCTTAAAGAATGCTTTATAGCACAATTATAACTATTATAAATGTCAAAGAAATTTAAGAGTTTATTCACAATGACTCAAATGTTTTTCTTTTAAACTTTTGAATTAGATCATAGAAAATTCTGTACTATCCACTGCACTGGATATCATTGTAGGAAATGTTTTATCCTGCATATCATTTTTGCATGCACATCGTCTAAGCCTGGGATACCACATGTGCTTGTGTGGGAATAAGCAGAAATCCAGCCTAAGCCCTGCTTGCCAAGCCCTAGCTGTGGTTGTGTCAGCCAGCCTGAAAGAAGACCCAATTTTTCCTGATTTGCTTAATAGGCTAACATAGCCCATTCTAAGTATTATTAGCTTTCTGTAAGTTTTTCTTTGTAATTGTTGTAAGGTTGCATCAAACCCATTCTATTTCCTGATCTATAGTTTTTTAAAAAGGCCCCCAAGGCTTGGTATCTCCAGCAGTATCCCCTGTTAATCATTCTAATAATCCTTGCCTTCTTATCATTAATATACAAACTGAGAGTTTGCAACTGTGAGAAAATGTACTTCATAGGGTAATAGGGCATTGGGCAAATGCCCTGGTACTTAGCACATCAATACCTTGATCTCTGGTGGTGACATTAACAGTGTGTATATATAGAACAAAAAGGCCAAAAATTGATAAGTACACAGAGCTTTAATATAGTGGCTTTCACAATTTCCTTCACTTAAAAAAAAATCACCTATGGTGTTTCTTAATTCTAGGGGACATAGTGAGATGAGAGAAGTGTCATTACTTCCTTGTAGCTCTCAATCATCAGAAGGTAAGCTTAGTTTTAAATGATGGATATTTATTACTAGGACTGTTGTTATTGTTACCATCTTTTTCTGTCATGGAGAAGGAAACATTTCAAGGCAAAATTGCAAAGACTTCTATGGCTTAAATTATCCTTTTCAGAATTTCTACAGTACTTTGAACACACTTCCATTATAATCTTATATCCTATTGCAATTAGTTGTTTGTTCAACTGGCCTGCCACTAGACTGAGTTCAAGAGTAGAAATGGTATTTTATCCATTATCTATCCCTAGAAGTTCCTTGTAGTTTGTGTTACTCAGTACATATCTGTTGGGTAAATTAATGGAAAACATTAAGGGGGAGTTTTTGCTTATCTTGATTTTCCACCACAAGAATATTTTAATGTATTACTTGTATAAATAAAAATAGAGATATTAAGGAATATTAAAAAATAAAGCAGTATTGCTCTGGCTTTAGTGTGGAGATTAAAATGGGAAGGAAATATCTGTACTCAAGGGTTACAGGTTATAAATGTACCCTCAATGATGTTATACACATTTGATTCCTATCATTCTTCTTATGCATTTTAAACCATCATGAGTTATGTTTGTAATGCAAGCATGAATGGTTAGAACGTTTTAGGATGTAGCTATTTCTTTTAAAGAGGGAAATAGGAAGTATATTAGAGTTGAAAAAAATAATAATAACCGAAGTTATATATACATTTTTAAAGTCTTCATTTGAATTTTTCCTTTCGTTATTATTTAGAATCCTCTAAACAGTCTTGTATTAGTGTGCCTGGAATGTCTACAGGAATAGTACTTGGTGCTGGGAGTATTGGAACAGATATTGTAAATGAAGTCCTGGATTTACAAAGGTAAAGTTTTATTGCTGCATATATTTTCACAAGTGAAATTATTATATTTATAAAACCAATATTCAAAAATCAGTAAGTTTCCTATATGCAAACAATAACTAGTTCAATATTATAATGAAAGAGAAGATCATTTTTACAGTAGCAACAAAAAAGCTAAGTATTTAGAATTATATGAAAACAAATTGTTAATGCTACAAACTATATGAACTATATGAAAACAAATTGTTAATGCTACAAAGGTTCATAAAAGATGACTTGAATAACTTTCTGTATAGTTGTTTTTCAATGGGAAGACTCAATACTGTAAAGATGTCAGTGTTTGTTAAGCTCATCTATGAATTCAGTGTGAATCCAGTCAAAATGGCATCTTGCATTTGTTTTTTAGAATCCAACAAATGATACTAACCATATTGAGGAAAATTCTAAAAACTAAAAGTAATAGAATGAGATTAACCCTAACAGATACTAAAATATAAAGCTACCATCACTAAAACATTTCAGTACAACCCACAAATAGATTAATGGGAAAGAATAGATTTTAGAAATAGACACATATGGGAATTTATTATATGGTAAAAGTGGCATTTCAAATCAGTGAGGGGAAATGGACTAAACAATTAAGGGCATTATAATAACTCTATAACTATTTGGGGGAAAAAAAGCTGAACACCAACTTTATTCTTTATATTAAAATAAATTTCAGATAAACCAAAGAGTTCAAAGTAAAATTTAAAAACTATAGAAATATTTCAAGAACAGAGATATGAGTTTTTATAATCTTAGTTTAGAATGTCCTTTCTAAACATCACAAAAAATCCAGAATTCATAAAGAAAAAAGTTGATAAATTATATAAAGATTCAAAACTTAAGCTAATAACCATTATGACAAAGGTAAAAGATTAATAAATTGCAAAAAATGTGTCATGTGATAAAAGGGACTTAATATAGCTTCCTATATGAAGTTTTATAGTATAAGGAATAAAGTTATTAAGCTATTTAAACTTTATAAATAAACTATAATTTTATTAACTTCTATTTATATTAAACTTTATATAAAGCATAAAGTTATTAAGTAATTTTTTAAAATAGCTCAATAAAAAGTTGGAGAATAGAATAGAAAAAAAATTATAAATGGTCAAGAACCTTCAACAATTGTTCAACCCTCACTGGGTACTGTAGGTAAGTGATGAATCACTGAATTCTACCCCAGAAGCCAATATTGCACTGTATGTTAACCAACTAAAATTAAAACAAAACAAAATAAAAACAGAAAACAATTGCTCAACCCCACTCATAGTTACAAATATATACAGCTGACCCTTGAACAACATGGGGATTGGGGATATTAACCACCTTGCCAGTCAAAAATCTGCATATAGGGGCGCCTGGGTGGCTCAGTCGTTAAGCGTCTGCCTTCGGCTCAGGTCATGATCCCAGGGTCCTGGGATAGAGCCCCGCATCGGGCTCCCTGCTCAGCGGGGAACCTGCTTCTCCCTCTCCCGCTCCCCCTGCTTGTGTTCCCTCTCTCACTATGTCTCTGTCAAATAAATAAATAAAATCTTTAAAAAAAAATCTGCATATAACTTCTGACTCCCCCAAAATTTAACTACTAATAGCCTGCTGTTGACTAGTCTTACCAATAACATAAACAGTCAATTAACACTTATTTTGTATGTTATATGTATTGTATGCTCTATGCTTACAATAAAGTAAGCTAGAAAAATAAAATATTGAGAAAAATCATAAGGAAGAGATTCTGTTCCAAGATGGTGACATGAGAAGACCCTGAATTCATCTCTGCCACAGACACACCAAATCTACACCTATTTATAGAGCAGTTTCTCCTGAAGAAGAACTGAGGGCTGACTGAAGAGCTTCTGTACAAGTGAAGATATAGAGACCACATAAAGAATGGTAAGAGAAATACAGACACTGTAACAAAGGGGAAAAGGGAATCCCCACGCCTGACACTGCAAACAGCAGTGGGAAGGAATAGTACTGAGGGATTATGAGCAGATTGTCTGCCATGGGACACACACAAAAAAGCACGATTTAGAAGAGCAACTAGAATATACAGGAACCAGCCTGGAACTCTGTCAAAATAGCAAGGGAGCTGCTGTAACTCTGTCCAGGTCAGAGGGGCTGGCTGGCTGCCCCAGTTTACATTCACCATCTTCCCTGAGAGTGTGGATGGGAGCAGGGTCCTCTATGCACATGCCGGCTGGCCTATTGCTTCAGTAAGCCCCATGCCCCTAGCCCACGCCATCCCACTAAGGCGGTCCCAGTATAGTACATACTAGGACACACCTGGACAGTGCTCACTACAGCTCCAGCTGTCTTGCAAAGATGACACAGGTGCAAAGTACCCCCAGAATACTCCAGGCCTGAACCACTTCAGTTCCACATGACTTGCTAGGGCACCCCCGGTGCAGGCATTCTGGGACCACCTGGCTCATACTGCATTAGCTCCAGACACTCCATCAGGGTGCCCTCTTTCCAGTGTGTCCCAGGACCCTCAGGCCCAGCCCTGCCTTGTTTCCAGCCACTCTGCCAGGCTACCCTCTGTGTGGAGAGCCCCAGGAACCTGCAGCTTGTACTGCCTCATCTCTGCTGTTCTGCCAGGGCACCCTCGGTGCAAAGAGCCCTGGGGCTATGCTGGCCCATGACCTCTTTAGCTCCAGCTATCCCACCAGCGCAGCCCTAGCACAGAGTGCCCTGGGATCCCCACCCAGGCTAGCCCTAGCTCTAGCCAGTCGGCAAAAGTCACCAGGCTCAGTCTACACAGGGGACCATACACAAGCCCATTCCTTCAAGTTTAGGAGAAGTAGCTATTCCACCTAATTCATGGAAACAAAAACAGTAAGTCAGTCAAAATGAGAAGACAGAAATATGCACCAAACCAAACGACAAGACAAAACCCTAGGAAAAAAAGTAAATGGAGATACCCAGTCTATCTGGTAAAGAGTTCAAAGTAATGATCAAAAAGATGCTCACTGGACTAGAAAGAAGAGTGGATAAACTTAGTGAGAACTTCAACAAATTAATAGAAAATATTAAAATAATCAGAATTGAAGAATACAATGACAGAAATGAAAAATACAATGGAGGGAATCAATAGTAGATTAGCAGATGCAGAAGAATGGATCACTAATTTTGAAGACAAGGTAATGGAGAGCATCCAAGCTGAATAGCAAAAAGAAAAAAGAATTTAAAAAATGAGGACAGGTTAAGGGATCTCTTGGACAACATCAAGTGAACAAACATTTACATCATAAGGATCCCAGAAGGAGAAGAGAGAGAGTAGAGGGCAGAAAACTTATTTGAGGAAGGAAATACTGCTAAAAACTTCCCTAACCTGGGGAAGGAAACAGATAACAAGATAAACCCAAGGAAGTCCACACCATGACCCAATATCTTTTGTTTTTGGTGTTTAAAATTATTAAGAGAGGATTTTAAAAGCAGGAGGAGAGAAGCAACTAGAAATGTTTAAGGGAAACTCCATAAGGCTATCAGCTGATTTTTCACCAGAAAATTTGCAGGCCAGAAGGAAGTGGCATGATATATTCAAGTGCTGAAAGGAAAAAAACCTACAACTAAGAATATTCCACCCAGCAAGATTATCATTAAAAATTAAGGAGAGGTAAAGAGTTTCCCAAACACAAGTTAAAGGATTTCACTACCACTAAACTGGCCTTACATGAAATCTTAAAGAGAATTCTTTAATCAGAAAAGGCCATAAGGCAATTAGAAAAGGAAAAAATTTCACTGGTTAAAAAATATACACAGTAAAGGTAGTAGGTCAACCACTTATAAAGCTAGTATGATGGTTAAAAAACAGAAGTAGTAAAATCAATTACATCAACAAAAATTAGTTAAGGGATACACAAAATTAAAAGATGTAAAATATGCTGTCCTATATGTAACATGTGAAGGGGGGAGTAAAAATGTAGTGCTTTTAGACTGTGGAACTTAGGAAACCATCAACTTAATACAGACTGCTATATACTTTGGATGTTATATGTGAAACTCATGGTAACCACAAGCCAAAAATGCATAATAGATATGGAGAAAATTAAGAGAAAGGAATCCAAGCAAACATTAAAGAAAGTCATCAAATTACAAGGGAAAGGAGCAAGAGAAAAAAGGAACAAAGAACTACAACAACCAGAAATAAGTGAACAAAATGGCAATAAGTACATACTTATCCATAATTACTTTAAATGTAAATGAGCTCAATGCTCCAATCAAAAGACATAGGGTGACTCAATAGATTAAAAAAAAAAAAATAGACCTATCTATATGCTGCCTATAAAAAACTCAATTCAGAGCTAAAGGCACATACAAAAGAAAGCAAAGGGATGGAAAAAGATATATCATACAAGTGGAGGCAGAGAAAAAAAGCTGGGGTAGCAATAGTTATATTAGACAAAATAGACTTTAAAACTAGGACTATAGCAACAGATATAGAAGGCTATTACAGGGTCACCTGGGTGGCTCAGTCGGTTAAGTGGCTGCCTTCGGCCCAGGTCATGATTCCAGGGTCCTGGGATTGAGCCCCACGTTGGGCTCCCTGCTGAGTGGGGAGCCTGCTTCTCCTTCTCCCTCTACCTGCCACTTCCCTGGCTTGTACTCTCTCTCTCTAATAAAAAATAAAAAATCTTTAAAAAAAAAAAAAAGAAGGCTATTACATAATAATAAAGGGATCAATCCAAGAAGAAGATATAATAATTGTAAATTTCTATGCACCCAACATAGGAACACCTAAATATATAAAGAAAATATTAACAGACATAAAGGGGGAAGTTGACAGTAATACAATAGTAGGGGACATTAACACTCCACTTACATCAATGAATAGATCATCAAAACAGAAAAACAATGAGGAAATAATCACTCTGAATGACACATTAGGCCAGATGGACATAAAAAATATATACAGAGCATTCCATCACCAAATAGCAGAATACACATTCCTTTTAGATGCAGAGGGAAACTTCTCA